CTACTCAGGAGGCTGAGGCAGGAGAACGGCGTCGGCCCGGGAGGCAGAGCTTGCAGTGAGCCGAGATCGCGCCACTGCACTCCAGCCTGGGCGACAGAGCGAGACTCCGTCTCAAAAAACAAAAAAACAAAAAAACAAAACAAAAAAAAAAAAAAAAAAAGAACACAGACTTGGGGATGACTCTACCTCTTGCTGGCTATATGATCTCAGGCAAGTTATGTAATCTAACCTTTCTATGCTTCAATGTCCTCATCCATAAAATGAGGATAATAATAATAATAATAATAATATGCAACTCATAAGATTTTGAGGATTAAATGACTTAATATATATGAAGGGTTTAGAATGGTAACTAATAGTAAATGCTATATGTATTAGCAATTATTATTGATAGTATTCATGTCTAAAATATCCTATGTATAAAACCGTGAAATCAGGCCTGGCATGGTGGCTTACACCTGTAATCCCAGCACTTTGAGAGGTTGAGGTGGGTGGATCACGAGGTCAGGAGATCGAGACCATCCTGGCTAACACGGTGAAACCACGTCTCTACTAAAATTACAAAAAATTAGCCAGGCGTGGTGGGGGGCGCCTGTAGTCCCAGCTACTCGGGAGGCTGAGGCGGGAGAATGGCGTGAACCCAGAAGGCGGAGCTTGGAGGAGCTTGCAGTGAGCTGAGATCGCGCCACTGAACTCCAGCCTGGGTGACAGAGCAGGACTCCGTCTCAAAAAAAAAAAAAAAGTGAAATCACTATAAAGTGAAAGGAACTACCAGTAGGTGAATACACAGAGATAAGGCTGGACCTTTGCTCTACTAATTGTTAAAGGATCTAAAGGCTAATAATATGCGCCAAATAAATACAATTTGAAAACTACAGTGGGAGGTGAACGGGTCCACAGATGCATGCCTAGGATTGACAACTTGCTGAAATTACCTTTCCAAACAGAGGGAGAAGAAATTGTGAACTGTACTAAGGTGCAACCCTGAGAAGTATTGGAAACTCAGACCCAACACATAGGAGGAGCTCATCATACCTCTTGGTTGCCTGGGTTATGGGGCAACAATGACTTAGAAGACACTACAACCAGGACTTTAGGATGCTGAGACACTCAGGGAAAGAGTACTCCAAAAATTTAGGAAGAATTTTTACAAATGAAAGGAGATGAAGAAAGAGATGGCAGCAAGAAGGAACTACACTAAGCATGTACACTGAGATCTCATAACATACATGAGACAAGAGAGTTCTAAGATATGAGTCTTCTCTATCTCTCTTTCTGAACCAAACATTTCCACTTATTTCAATAAAATATGAGTAAGTACCAATTAGGGATCATGGAACTTCCTTATTTTTCCTTGGATACTGCTTCACTCGCAGTATCCATTTGAAATACATTCTGAAAGCCTTCTGGTATGGTTGCAAGGCAATTATCCCTCCATTGTGTGCAATGAACCATACAAACCAAATTTATTAAACAAATTCCATGATTCAAGGCAAAATCTTTGTGTGGGTGAGGAAAAGGTCTTGGTGGCATCAGCCAATATTCTGCATAGGTTCTAAATACAAAACCCAGACAGTCTGCAACCTTCTAGTAGTTCTAAATGAGGAACCATAAAAATAATGTTGTTAATGCTCAGTAATATTAAGAGTATAATGGTATAATGGAATGGTAATAACACAAATCTGAATTATGTACCATGTTTCATTAGAGACATTTACACTCTGACTAATCAGTGTCACCTCTTCTTTAATGGCAAGAGACATTTACACTCTGACTAATCAGTGTCACCTCTTCTTTAATGGCAGAGGACACAAAGAAACAGGGGGCAAGATTCCAAGGACTTACTCACGATTATACCATGACTCAGAAGCAAGCCAGAGGCTGAATCAGTGTCCTGATTTCCACAAAATCTGTGCCCCTCTCTCTGTTCCAGGTGTGCTTATAAAGTCTTTTCATTCCTTCCTGACTTTCCATGGGCTCCTAGTGCACTTCACTGAGTGTTCTGGGAGTGACAGCTCAGGGACAATATGCCCCTGGACATGGTCATGCTGCCACAGGAGCTACTATAAGAACTCAGAGCTGTAAACAAAATACCTCTCTGTGGCATGAGCAAGTCATTCCTTTGATTTGCAGTGCTGACAAGCTTCTTTAAAATGTTACCATCTTTTTTATTTTTTAGAGGTGGGGGCCTCACTTTGTTGTCTAGGCTGATCTTGAAATCCTGGGCTCAAGAAATTCTCCCGCTTTGGCCTCCGAAAGTGTTAGGATTACAGGTGTGAGCCACCATACCCAAATCTAAAGTGTTATCATCTTTTTAAAAACATTCATTTAGGGCCGGACGCGGTGGCTCACCCCTGTAATCCCAGCCCTTTGGGAGGCAGAGATGGGCAGATCAGTTGAGGCCAAGAGTTTGAGACCAGCCTTGCAAACATGGCAAAACCCCATCTCTACTAAAAATATAAAAATTAGCCAGGCATGGTAGCACTAATTCCAGCTTCGCCAGAGGCTGAGGCACGAGAATCATTTGAGCCTGGGAGGCAGAAGTTGCAGTGAGCCGAGATCACACTACTGCGCTCCAGCCTGGGTGACAGAGTAAGACTCTGTCACAAAAAAAAAAACAAATAAAAGCACTCATATAAACCTCTTATAGTTTACTATGGGACAGAGGGAAAGAATTATTATTTATGTTGTATTAAAGCTACTATGTATAAAGATTAATAAGTTTCAGTTATAGCTCAAATGAAAATCAATAATTTACAGGGCTATAGAAACTTCAGGGAGAATACACTAAAGTACATTATGGGTTTGAAAAGCTAACTGAACTATAAATTGCTGACAATCGCTTGTTGCTTTTTATCTCCACTTAATTACAAAAAGGACCTCAAGTGAACCAGAGGAAACTGCAAGCCCTGCTCCCACGAAGAATGAAGAATGAAATTAAATACCGACCATTACTACAGTTTTCTTAGTAATGTTGGGAAGTACGAATGAAGACCTTAGATTAGGCTCTAGAGAAGTGATTCAGCAAGTCGAGCCATTATTAACATTATAGATGTTGACTTTAAAATTCTGTAAGAAATTAATATATAAGTAAAAATAAAAAGCAGGAAGGAGGAGGAAAAACAATAATAATATTTATAAAATTTGTTTTAAGGGTTTTTTTTTTTAGAGACAGGGTCTCACTGTGTTGCCCAGGCTGGTATTGAACTCCCGGCCTCAAGTGATCATCCAGCCTCAGCCTCCCAAAGTGCTAGGATTATAGGTGTGAGCTACCACGCCCAGCCAAAAATTTGGTATTTCTGAGCAGAATCCAAAAGAATTATATTTATGAAGCTGCCCCTTTTGCACAGAGTAGTCTGGCATTCTGTAAGAAAGGTATAAGCCAGAAAACAATACCATTTTAATTAAAGCTGGTGTGTATGAGGAGAAATACTGAATGGCAGTCTGCATACTACCTTCAAAGAGAACACCACAAGAGGTGAGAAAAGACAACATGAGTCACTGGGATTGATGAGACTCACATGGAAGACTGAACAAATACAATGGATTGAGTTAATGCTAAAGTAGTTTGCTTTCAAGCTTTCCTCTTTTAGTTCAATCTGCGTCAGTCTGACTTTCCTTAAAGTTGTGTGGGAGAAAAGGAGGAATAAAATTTTGCCAAAAAAAAAACTAAAAAAAAAAAACCCCACTGCTCAAGAAATGTGTAGAGAAAAATTTCTTAAGGTAAAATTGTTATGAGGACTATTTCTTTATCTTAGATCTGGTATAACAAATATCCAGGCAGCTCTTCTATGGAGAGAAAAGAATCAAGTTCCCCTTTTAGGGACCGTGTACCAGTTCACGCAACGTGAAAACTTGATTTATAATTTAACAAGTATTTTACTTGTCTTTCCTGCCTGGGATGTAAATTTAACAGAAATAATGAAGATGTTGTTTGGGAAATACAGATTCCAATAGATAATTACTGATCTCTGAACTAAAATTAAAGAAAAAAAAAGGACTGGGTATTATTATGTAGTATTAGTATATATTAGTATGTAGTTCACTGAAAATGGAAAGAAGGAAAAAAGGGACTCAAAAGTCTAACTATCTACTCTTAACAGCCCTTTGGCATTCACCACTTAAGTTTTAGGAAAAGAGTTAACATAAACCCTTAGAGGGCTAATCAAAGATTAAAATTCAGCAGTGTTGGGGCAGGCATCGTGGCTCATGCCTATAATCCCAGCACTTTGGGAAGCTGAGGCGGGCAGATCACTTGAGGTCAGGAGTTGCAGACCAGCCTGGCCAACATGGCGAAACAAACCCCATCTCTAATAAAAAAAAAAAAAAAAATATTAGCTGGGCATGGTGGCAGACACCTGTAATCCCAGCTATTTGGGAGGCTGAAGCAGGAGAATCACTTGAACCTGGGAGGCGGAGGTTGCAGTGAGCCGAGATTGCGCCACCGCACTCCAGCCTGGGCAACAGAGTAAGACTCTGTCTCAAAAACAAACACAAAAAAAGAATTCAGCAGTGTTGAAAATTCAACAGTCCTGAGAAACAAGAAATTCCCCATTTGGGCCTAAAAACTCTTGAGGAATTTCCATTGTTTTTCCTTGCTAGGGGAAATTTCGGGTAACAAAATATAGTGAACATTTAGTGTTAGCAGTTGTTACTGAAGTCCCAAGAATTCAAATTGATTCCCTTCCTTCTAAGAATGCAAGTGAGGGCCATTTAAACAATTACCTTAGTGTAGACTTATCTCAGATAAAAGTAAAAATCACACAGTCCAACAGATATTTCCAACTACTATCATATAATCAATATTTTTACCCTCATTACAAATCTTATTCACTGTGGTCAAAATCCAACAACAGAGTAAGTTCAGCAACTTAACCAGTAGATTTCTGAATTCCACAAGGGCAGGGGACATGTTCTATTCATCTTTCAATTCCCAGCACCCAAGACAGTGTTATTACACAGTTGGCGCTTGATAAACATTTGACAAAATAAACTGTTACCATGTAAAATGTCCGAGTCATCTTCAACAAAATCAATGTCTCTCAAGTCCCATTCTGCGTAATTGTCAAATTCCTGTTTGGGGGAACAAAAAAATCCCCACCCCAAACCCATTGGCTTTGATTAATGTCTTTACAGCAGCCATGCTTTAGAGGTAAACAGAAAAAACACAAGCAAACAGTTGTTAAAAAAGTCTAAATAGGGCAAAAGGCCACAATACTGGCACAGGTAATAGGAAGTCATGGGAAAAATCTAAGAGGCTTACAAGCAGTAGTGACAACAAAAAATTGGAATAGTTATGAGTTTAGGAATGAAGCTAAACATACTGCTCTAAAAACTAAAATTAGTCTGAGCTGGGCACAGTGGCATGCACCTGTAATCCCAGCTACTCAGGAGATTTAGGTGGAAACATCTCTTGAGACCAGGAGTTTCAAGACTGCCTGGGAAACAGAGCAAGATCCTGTCTCTTCAATAAATAAATAAATAAAGTCAATTCTTTTTTTTTTTTTTTTTTTTTTGGAAACAGGGTCTCACTCTGTCACTCAGGCTGGAGTCAGTGGTGTGATCTTGGCTCACTGCAGCCTCGAACTCACAGGCTCAAGATATCCTCTTGCCTCAGCCTCTCAAGCAGTTGGGTCTACAGGGACATGCCACCACACAAAAGGTAATTTTTGGTTTTGGGTTTTTTTTTTTTTGGTAGAAAAACAGGGTTTTGCCATGTTGCCCAGGCTAGTCTCAAACTCCTGAGCTCAAGCAATCTGCCTGACTCAGCCTCCCAGAGTGCTGGGATTTACAGGTGTAAGCTACCGCAGTTGGCCAAACTATATTTCAAGTTGTGAATTAGATGATAAGTCAAGAGATTTTGTGGTTACATTCACATGTCTTTTAATTCCATAGCTGAGCAAAGAACATACAGTTTTTATACACATTCATCATTCTTTATATAATTGTGGATATTGTACAGGAATCAGTAAACTATTATTCAGCCTACTGTCTGTTTTTATACATAAAGTTTTACTGGAACACAGGCGTATTCATTTCTTCTTATATTATCCAATGCTGCTTTAGCACAATAATGACAAAGTATAGTTACAACAGAAACTTTATAGCATACAAAACCTAAAATATTTACTATCTGGCCTTTAATAGAATAAGTTTGCCAATCCCCGATATAGTACAATCTTGAAAGCCCCTAGATGTACAATAAGAACCAGACTACAGGCCAGGTACGGTGGCTCACGCCTGTAATCCCAGCACTTTGGGAGGCTGAGGCTGGCAGATTGCCTGAGATCAGGAGTTTTGAGACCAGCCTGGCCAACATGGTGAAATCCTATCTCTACTAAAAATACAAAAATTAGCCAGGCGTGGTGGCAGGCACCTGTAGTCTCAGCTACTTGGGAGGCCGAGACAGAAGAATCGCTTGAACCCAGGAGGTAGAGGTTGCAATGGGCCGAGACCATGCCACTGCACTCCAGCCTGGGCAACTAAAGCAAAAACTGTCTCAAAAAAAAAAAAAAAAAAAAAAAAAAAAAAGGACCAGACTACAGGAATTTCATACCTAAGGAAGTAGAAGCCAGCAGATGCAACTTAAGAAATGGGTTTTCTGGGGCTTTTCTTGGAGACAGGGTCTCACTCTGTTGCCTAGGGTGCAGTTTAGTGGAATGACCACCACTCACTGCAGCCTTAACCTCCCAGGCTTAAGTGATCCTCCTGTATCAGCCTCCCAAGTAGTTAGGACTACAGGCATGTACCACCACACCCAGCTAATTTTTTATTTTTTGTAGAGACAAGGTCTCACTACGTTGCCCAGGCTAGTCTCGAACACCTGGACTCAAGCGATCCTCCATTCTCAGTTCCCAAAGTGCTGGGATTACAGGTGTAAGCCACTGTGCCCAGCCAGAAATAGGCTGTTTGTTTAAAGAATTTTTCCTGTTCCATATGTGAAAATGTTTACAAGTGAGAAAAGGCACTCAAATGTAAGAAAATGTGGCTGCCTAAAGGTCCTACAAATTACAGTGCTTTGAAAAATCTCCTTTTAGTGGTATGGAATCTATGGGTGAGATAGAAGGCTCATGAGAAATACAAACAAATTTTTCCTACTTTGTACTAAAAACACAGTTATCCTACCTCAATGAAATCTGCTCGAGCTGGCATGTACCCGGCCATGTCCCGAGAAAGCAAGGAGTCAAAGGTAGGTCGGGGAGGGTCATCTGTAGCTGGAAGAATTTAGAAGTTTTCTGAGTTAACTAATACAATATTGGCATGAAAAAATGACATAATAATAGTCCAAGAATAAAAAAATTTTAAATGGTTTTTATAGAAGGAAATGTGAAAAAGATAAAGTATTATGAAAACACATTTTTTTTAAAAGAAAAACCAAGACTCAGGCAATCCTTTAAGTAAATATGGGGAAATTTCTTCTGATTTCTGCTTTTCTAAAATGAAAGGAAACCATGGCTTTTTTCTTTTAATATTACTGAACCTAAATATTTACCATTGGCTTTGGCTCCCTCAACCCTTAGGACGAACCTCAATTTACAAAACTCATCCAACTGAGAGGCAAAAAAAACAAAAAACAAAAAAAAAACACCAAAGGCAGGAAAAAAACAAACACCGGAATTGGAAGTTAGCTGGAATTAAGTCCTAGCTCTAACACACAGTAGTCCCATGACCCTGCACAAACTAACCTTTCTGCATCGGTCTCCTCCAATGTAGACCAAAAGCACTTGCTCTGCCTATCTCACTGGATTGCCGTTTGGAAACAAATGGTGTAATGAATTTGAGAACCAAGTGCTAACATCAAAGTGCTATCCAAATAGGAGGTATCAACCAGGCACGGTGGCTCACACCTGTAATCCCAGCACTTTGGGAGGCCGAGGCGGGCAGATCATCTAAGGTCAGGAGTTTGAGACCAGCCTGGCCAATATAGCGAAACCTCATCTCTACTAAAAATACAAAAAATTAGCCAGGTGTGGTGGCATGCACCTGTGGTACCAGCTGCTTGGGAGGCTGAGACACGAGAATCGCTTGAACCCTGGAGGTGGAGGTTGCAGTGAGCGGAGGTTGTGCCACTGCACTCCAGCCTGGGAGACAGAGCAAGACTCTGTCTCAAAAAAAAAAAGGAGATATTACCAGCCTCTAAGTTAGTCAGCTATAAAACTGTTTCTAAAGAGTACGAGAAAAGAGAAAAGGGAAGGGAAAACATTCATATCTTATTACTTGTGCCCTGGGAGTCATTCAGGAAAGATGGTCATTTGTAATTCATCATGTTTTTGGTTATATTTTATTAAGAGACCCACTGGTCCCACAGGCACGAGATTAAAAAGTTCGCCGTCACTGACACAACCAAGTGAACAAAAATAACAAACCACTTCTTGGACTTGACACTGGGACAATTCATAATAATGAGTCAAATACTGTATTCTCTAAGCAACTTGTATGTATAATCATAAGCTCTCCAAAGGGATTGAAAAAAAACTTATAACAGCATAGAAAAGATTTTCCCTTTTTGACATCTTATTTTACAAAGGAAACCACTGAAGTTAACTGATATGTTCAAAGGACTGGAGGTAGGTGGAACTACACATTGGCTTCAAGCACCTTGATGTCCCGTATAGAACTCTGACCCTTAGAGTATGTTCCTTCTTTGCTACATTTTAATCCTGACTCTTTTTTTTTTTTAAGAGACGAAGTCTCACTCTGTCACCCAGGTTGGGGTGCAGTGATATGATCCTGGCTCACTGTAACCTCCGCCTACCTGGTTCAAGTGATTCTCCTACCTCAGCCTCCCCATTAGCTGGGATTATAGGTGTCTGCCACCACATACGGCTAATCTTTACACTTTTAGTTGAGACAGGGTTTCCCCATGTTGGCCAGGCTGGTCTTGAACTCCTGGCCTCAAGTGATCTACCCAACTCAGCCTCCAAAAGTGCTGGGATTACAGGCATGAGCCACCACGCTGGGTCGATCCTCACTCTTAATAGCTGCCATATAACTCCTCCTATCTTCCGTGATATCATTAGCTGTCGAATTAATCAAATCACTGTTTATCTGCTACTGGAACAGGGCCCAAGGATGAGCTAAGTGTCTTTTACCAAGATAGGGAAGCACTTACAGTGAAATGGAATGGCTGTGTCAGCAGTTTTTGCTTCCTCTGCTTGTTTCAGGTTAAGCAGGGTAGATGCAAACAGAGGGTTATTGATGAAATGCTTCATATAGTGCTTCTCACACTCCTCTTTGGTCTTGGTGCACATCTGATTGGCTACATCCTGCCTAGAGGATTGTGGGAAAAAGACAGAAGAAACTGGTACTTTCATTTCCACATAACAGTAAACGCATCATTTGCTCTTTTGATATTTTAAGTCACTAAGCTATTTAATTTAAATAAATTTAAGTCACTAAGCTATTTAAGCTATTTAATTAGCTGAGTATGGTGGTGCACAACTGTTGTTCCAACTACTTGGGAGTCTGAGAAGGGAAGATCCCTTGAGCCCAAGAGTTCAGGGTTACAGTGACTGTGATCACACCACTGCATTTCAGCCTGGGTGATAAAGTGAGACTGTCTTAATAAAAAAGAATCCCTGACTTGAGCCAAGGTAATGGAGAGGTAGAGGTAGAAGTCCTCTCCTCAAGGTCTCTTTTCCACAGCACTTCACTTGTCCTCCCCTAAGACATCACTGTGCTGTTTTGTGTACTTCAATCACTTGTACAGATATTTTGAGTCCCTTGCTAAACTATAAGCTTCCTGAAGGCAGGATGCATCTCATAATTCTTAGCTCTGGTCCACTCACTGCCAAACTTAGTGCCTTACCCACAGCAGACAGAGAAGCTACGTCTTTTTTATGTTCTTTGTTAAGAGGGAAGGAGGACAAACAGAGAGGATTAGCCTATTTTAGACAGCATGGTAAGCAAAAAATGAAAAACTAGGCCAAAGATGACTAGCAAGCTCCTCACAAGTGATTACTTTTCTACCTCCTTTGGTATTCCTCATTGTACACCGTATTTTATGATGCTTAATAAATACTGAATGAATGAATACAAGCAAAATGTGAACTAAATTCAGGTCTGCTTCTTCAGGTCCCTGGACATAAGGGAAGCAGCAGAATTTATTCTGATGAACACCAAGAAAGGTTATATACACTAGCAAGTCAGGACAGGGAGGACCTAATTAAGAGTCCCTCACTAATAAGCTACGTAATCACAAGAAATCATTTCAACCCCCTAGGCTTCAGATAATTTGTGAACAAAATATATTCAATAATGTCTCTGCTATCTAGTTCATAAAATAAAATCATCCATATGAAAGTGTTCCCAAAAGATAAAAACAAAAGTGGTAGTATTAAGTGGTGCTGCCCACTAAGGCAACAGCAATGAGTGCTATTCAATTCAGCCGGTGTTGGACTAAGGCAGGTGTTTGAAAGCTAAAAACAGTGAATGCTATCAGGAAGTCTGTGAAACTTGAATCTTAGGTATGACCATCTAGCTAAAGTCTGATTCACTTAAATGACTAGGACATCTATAACCAACAAAAATTCATAAAATCAGAAGGGAGTAATAACTAACAAAACTAAACTTCCCTACTATTCAGAAAGGAATAATCAATCTTCCCATTGTTGATACATATCCAAAGTGGCCTTTTAAAGCTGCTCAGTCATGGACCACTAAACATCCCATACCCTTGTGACACATTTCGGCACTGGAAAAATAACGTACAGAGGGGACTAACTTGTCTCTAAATCATGGGTTGATAGGAAAGCAACATATACTTTCTCTTCCTGAGGCTCCTTCCTTTACTCTTCAACAACAGCTTCTTCTCTGAGCCCACTAGGGCAGGATAACTCTTAACATCAAGCACTTACCAATTTCCAAAGCCACAGTCCATCACAGCTTCTAAAAGGGCCATTTCTTCTTGAGCAGTCCAGCTGGGATCCAGGACAGGAAAATCTGAGGTCTAAGGAGAAAAAAGTTTTGCTTAAGAACAGAGATACAAATGGAATCTAGGTGCCAGGCCTGGTGGCTTACGTCTATAATCCCAGTACTCTGGAAGGCTGAGGCAGGCGGATCACTTGAGGTCAGGAGTTCGAGACCAGCCTGGCCAACATGGTGAAACCCTGTCTCTACTAAAAATACAAAACTTAGCTGGGCATAGTGGCATGCGCCTGTAGTCCCAGCTACTCAGGAGGCTGAGGCAGGAGAATCACTTGAACCGGGGAAGCGGAGGTTGCAGTGAGCTGAGATCGTGCCACTGCACTTCAGTCTGGGCGTTGCAACAAGACTCCGTATCAAAAATAAAAAAGAAATGGAATCTTGGAACTTCAACTGTAGTAGTAGTTTATAGTTGAATGATGAGAGATACCTAGGGTACATTCTTATTAGTTGTCCACCTCTCCCACCCATTTCCACCATTAGCTAGAAGGGCCTCCATATCACCTATAAATGCCAAGCAATTCATGCAGATATACATATATTTTCAAACTTAACACAGAGGTACAGATAAATATTTTTGTACACTCCCATTTAGCTAAGAAAGAGGAAAAGACAAATATGTATGTATTCTTTTAAATGGAAGAATAAAACACACTTAAAAAAAAAAAGGTTACTATGGGGAGGAAGAAAGAGAACAGGGTAGAGAGAAGAGGGATAGAAGCTAGACTTCTCTGAATATTCCTTGCTTGTAGATTTGACTTTGAAACATAAATAGTATAATATTAAACTTTAGGCTGGCCTTAGTGGCTCACGCCATTCCAACACTTTGGGAGGCCGAGGCAGGTGGATCTCTTGAGGTCAGGAGTTCAAGACAAGGCTGGCCAACATGGTGAAACCCCGTCTTTACTAAAAATACAAAAAATTAGCCGGGCGTGGTGGCGGGTGCCTGTAGTCCCAGCTGCTTGGGAGGCTGAGGCAGGAGAATGGCATGAACCTGGGAGGCGGAGCTTGTAGTGAGCCAAGATGGCGCCACTGCACTCCAGCCTGGGGGACAGAGAGAGACTCCGTCTCAAAAACAACCAACCAACCAACCAACCAACCAACCAAAACAAACTCTTGCAGTCTCGTATTTAAATTGAAAGTTTTATTATGAACTCATGTGTTGTATCTTAAAAGAAAAATAATTTCCTAACATTGTTCACTGAAAAGGTCTAGAAAAAAATGACCAACCCAGTAGCAATGAGTAGTTGGGATTACAGGCATGCGCCACCACACCCAGCTAATGTTGTATTTTTAGTAGAGATGGAGTTTCTCCATCTTGGTCAGGCTGATCTCGAACTCCCAACCTCATATGATCCACCCGCCTGGGCCTCCCAAAGTGCTGGGATTACAGGCATGAGCCACCGCGTCTGACAGCAAAGAAGCTCTTAAAGACTATAAAGGTCATGTAAAAAAATTCAGAAGTCAACTTCCAGAGACTCCTGTTAGCTAAAAATGGAATATTTTGAGCATCAATAAGGATAATAACCACAAATAACTGAAACATCAAATATTTTAAATATGTGGAGGATGCTAGGGAACCAATGCATATTCTCAAAACTAGTAAATAAAGGGAAGTAATCATCATTTCTCTTTCCTGTACAAACGTTACTCAGAGGGACCATGTAATAATAATAAATTTCTAACTCATAAATTAAAATGAGTGATAGAATTAAAAGATTAATGTTTTGCAATCCTTAGTGAATTACCAGGTCCAGACAATGGTCCTAAATGAATCTGAAGTAGTCATTAAATGTAACTACTAGTGTATAGGAAACGCAGAAGACAGAGGAACACATTAGTCAACAAAATCCAGACTAACATCTGTAAGACAAACAATCCGGTTTTTAAAAATCAAATAAATAATAAGAAATGAGAGCAAGGAGCTTCCAGGCTGCTGAACACATGGAGGTGGAGGATGGTGTACCCAGAGAGGACAGGAAAGCTCCGTGCCCCTTCCCACATACACCCTGCCTCATGCATCTCTTATGGCTGGCTGCTCATTTTTCAACATCACCAGTGTTAAATTATGTATCATCTGATATGATAAAATGAGAAGGCAATTCACCTCTCTGTGATCTTCTACCTAAACACCTATAATCCAAATCTAATCATGATAAAATATCAAACCTATGAAGACAAAATTGAGAGACACTGTACAAAATACACTTCGACCTGTCAAGGTCATGAACAGGAAAATCTAAGAAACTGTCACAGATTGGAGAAAACATTATGACTAAATGCAATGTGGGATCTCCAATTGGATCCTGCAACAGAAAACGACATTTGTGGAAAATCTGGAGAAATCTGAATAAAATCTATAGTTACTAGTATTGTAGTAATGTTCATTTCTTTTTCCTTTTTTTTTTTTTGAGACCAAGTCTCGCTCCATAGCCCGGGCTGCAGTGCAGTGGCATGATCTCAGCTCACTGCAACCTCCACCTCCTGGGTTCAAGCGATTCTCCTGCCTCAGCCTCCTGAGCATCTGGGATTACAGGCATGTGCCACCATACCTGGCTAATTTTTTGTATTTTTAGTAGAGACAGGGTTTTACCATGTTGGCCAGGCTGGTCTTGAACTCCTGACCTCAAGTAATCCGCCCAACTCGGCTTCCCAAAATGCTGAGATTACAGGTGTGAGGCACCAAGCTCAGCCCTTTCTTTTATTTGAGACAAGATCTTGCTGTGTTGACCAGGCTAGAGTGCACTGGTGTGATCATGGCTCACTGTAGCCTCAAACTCCTGAACTCAAGCAATCCTCCTGCCTCCACCATCCAAGTAGCTAAGAATACAAGCACGTGCAACCACACTCACCTAATTTTTAAATTTTTCTGTAGCAATGGGGTCTTTCCAGATTGCCCAGGCTGGTCTCAAACTCCTGGACTCAAACAATTCTCCCACTACAACCTCTCAAAGTGCCGGAATTACAGGAAAGAGCCACCACACCCAGCCAATGTTCATTTCTCAATTTTGACAAATGTACTATAATGTAAGATGTTAACATTTGGGGAAGCAGGATGAAGGATATACGGGAACTCTCTGTACTAGATTTGCAACTTCAGTAAATCCAAAACTGGCTGGGCTCAGTGGCCAGCCAGTAATCCTAGCACTTTGGGAGACCAAGGTGGGAGGATCCCTTGAGTCCAGGAGTTTGAGACCACCCTGGACAACATGGCAAAACTCCATCTCTATTTCTCTATATATTTAAGAAGATAAAATTTAAAATATAATTATTCTAAAACAAGACCAAAAAAAAAAAAAAAAAAAAGAAATGAGAGAAAGGGAAGGAAATCCCATACAGAATAGAAAACACGTAAGAGGCAAACAGTTGGAAAATTGAAATGTGTGAATCTTATTTGTATCTGAATTAAACAAACTGCAAAAAGTAAAAAAAAAAAAAAAAAAATTGTAATACCACACTACACTGACTAAAATAGCTAAAATCAATGAAACTGACAATGCCAAATGTTGGCAAGCACATGAAGCAATCAGAACTCTCGTATATGGTCAACAGAGGTGTAAAATGATACAAACGCTTTGGAAAACTTGCCAATCATTTCTTTAAAAGTTAAACAATCATTTACTCTATGACCCAGCAATTTCACTCCTAGGTATTTATCCAAAAAACAGTGAAAACATATGTACATAGAAAGCTTTATACAGGAATATTCATTGCAGCTTTATTCACAATAGCTCAAACCTGGGCAAGGCCCAGGTGTCCATCAAAGGGAGAACGGATAAAAAACTGTATTGTGTTCATACAACAGAATATTACTCAGTAATTAAAAGAAATGATTAGTAGCAAATGTACTAGTAACATACACAACATGAATAAAACTCAAAAACATGCTGAGTGAGGCCGGGTACGGTGGCTCACGCCTGTAATCCCAGCACTTTGGGAGGCCGAGGCGGATGGATCACCTGAGGTCAGGGGTTCAAGACCAACGTGGTCAACATGGTGAAACTCCGTCTCTACTAAAAATACAAAATTAGCTGGGTGTGGTGGTGGGCGCCTGTAATCCCAGCTACGTGGGAGGCTGAGGCAGGAGGATTGCTTGAACCTGGGAGGCGGAGGTTGCAGTGAGTCGAGACTCTGCCATTGCACTCCAGCCTGGGCAACAGAGCGAGACTCTGTCTCAAAAAAAAAAAAAAAAAAAAAAGCTGAGTGAAAGAAACTAGAAACAACACAAGTGTACATACAGTATGATTCCATATATATGCAGTTTTAGAATATGCAAAACCAATCTATGCTGATTTAAAAAAAAAATTAGAACAGTGATTGTTTCAGGGGTAAAAAAGGCAGCAGGTGTTTTAGATATTAAGCCTTTATGAAATGACTGGCGGAATGTGAAAAGTGACTAGAATTACATAGAGACCTAATGAAACACTTAAAGATGAAATAATATACTGCCTAGGGTATTTGCTTCAAAATAATCTAGAAAGGTGATGGTTTAGGCCAGGTGCGGTGGCTCACGCTTGTAATCCCAGCACTTTGGAAGGCCGAAGTGGGCAGATCACCTGAGGTCAGGAGTTCAAGACCAGCCTGGCCAACATGGCGAAACCCCATCTCCACAAAAATAAAAAAATTAGCCGGGCATGGTGGTGTGTGCCTGTAATCCCAGCTACTCGGGAGGCTGAGGTGGGAGAATTGCTTGCATCCAGGTGGCGCAGGTTGCAGTGAGCCGAGATCAACCCATTGCACTCCAGCCTGGGTGACAGGGAAAGTTGATGGTTTAGATAAAGTAAGATTGGCCATGAGTCGATAATTTTAAGCGCTAGTGATGGGTAAATAAACGGAAATTGATTACCACTATGTTGATTACAATGATGACGACATTTTTATCTGAGCATGTACTGTGAATATGCCTAGCACATGAGGTATTATGAGATCCAAGAGAGAAATTTTGGAGTCTATGTCTATACTAAATTCATAGCCCTCTTGGGACTTTCAGCCTAAGTACATCATGTGGAGCCAAGAGCCACCCTCACTGTGCCTAATCTGAATGCCTGAACCACAAAACAGTGGGAGATAATAAAATGGTCATTTTTAAGCATGAGGTTTTGAGGTAGCTGGCAATAGATAACCAAATATCATTCTGTCTTGTGTATATCTGAACTTTTCTATAATAACAAGTAAAACAAATAATGACACAAGACATCTTCAGATTACACAGGCACTTAGAACTTGTTATAACTTTTTTTAATGACAAAAAAAAGTGTCATGATTTGTGAAATTACACTACCAATAAGCAACACATTTTCATCTGAGCACGCACTACGAATATGTCTAGCACATGAGGTATTATGAAATCCAAGAGAGAAATTTCAGTCTATACACTAAATTCATAATAACTCTCAATTCAGCAAGTACCAAAAGACAAGTAAATATGACAACGCACACATTAGTTGAAGAGACTGTTATTTGTAAAACTGTATTTTAGAATATTGTTTCTCAACCAACTTTACTGTGAGATAAACTATAAAAACTTTCTACATCACAGACACACCAAAAAAGGCACAAGACAGTTTTACATAAAGTTTAATTAATATTATTCAACTCGGGGACCAAACCTCAGCACTTCTGAACCACAATCTCTCATAGAAGAGTTTAGGAATCTACATTTATAAGAAACTCCCAGGCAATTCTTATGTACTGAAGTTTAAGAATCACTGGTATAAAAGGGTGTGGCAGAAAGAGCTGCCTTGACTTGTTCAAAGTTCTAAGAATTACAAGACAAAAATAGGCATAGAATTCAGAAATCCTGGTTAACGCACCACCTACCACAGCATGAGTAACTGCCAAAAATACAGCACTGTGACATGACAAAAGTACTGAAAACCATTTAAAGTTATCTGAGGCTTCGTATGCAAAAAAATCAAGTTTTGTGTAGAAAGCTAAAATTTGGTCATCATGCCTATAGAAGGAAAGATTCACTGGGCATAAATAAGGTGGGCCACAAAAAGGAAGTATTAGTAACCCCCAAAAGCTCCCCAAAGTAAAGGACAGTACTCTGAAATGTGATTGTATGGGTGTTGAATATGTGAGAAAAGGATGATGTAATCAGAATTAAGTGGATGTGGAGTGAAACTTAGTCAGTGCTTTCAGCATTATGAAGAAGACATGATGCCCAGAATAGCTAAAGAAAGCTCATGGTCAGCTTTCCTAAAGTGAATAAGCATGACTACCAACCTACCCAAGCCATACTGAATTATCCCTTAAGGAATTATTTCACAACATGAATGAATAAATTTGTATTCTGGCTCTAGGTATTCTCGCATTAATTTGGGGAAAACAAACCAGTTTTCTGAAGACCTGATAACCTTGGTGAAATTAACTCAAATCCACAGCTACTTTGAACAGTCTCCTAACCCTTCATTTTTGCAATTAAAGGGGGAAAAAAATTTATTCCAAGTCTTACAATTACTGAAGCCATTAGTTAAAAGACTGAAATTGTTTAAAGATGGAAAGAGGAAGGCCAGCTAGTTGGCTCCCAAGGACTCTAACTAGTTCTCTGATTAATTCATTGTGGCCTAGAATCTGACCCTGAATATTATAAGCCCAGAAACTCATTTTAATAGGACTCCACCAGTAGTCAGGCTCAGAGATGCTGAGTCACCCTTTCTAAACTTTTAAGAGACTGAAGTAAATATACCACAGTGCTGTAGGAGGCCCAATTCTAAAGATGTTCTCTGGCTGGGCATGGTGGCTCATGTCTACAATTCCAGCACTTTGGGAGGCCAAGGTGGGAGGATCATTTGAACCCAGGAGTTCGAGACCAGCCTGGGCAACATGGAGAAACCCTGTCTCTATTCTTTTTTAATAAATAAATAAAATAAAAATAAAGATGTTCCCCTCATCCTAAGATTCCTGTTTTCTGATTATTCCATCAAACACTAACGAGGTACTGCTGGGAAAGGACTTTACAGATGGAATAAAGGTTACTAATCAGCTGACCTTGAAGGAAAGATTATCCTGGATTACCCAGATGGGCCCAATGTAATCCACATGAATCCTTACACGTAGCTGAGGTGCCTGCTGCGGTGACTCACACCTGTAATCCCAGCACTTGAGGAGGTTGAGGATTGAGGTGGGAGGATCCCTTGAGCCCAGGAGCTCGAGACAGCCTGGATAACATAGAAAGACCTGTCTATGAAAATCTTTTTTTTTTTCGGAGATGGAGTCTCCCTGTCGCCCAGGCTGGAGTGCAGTGGCGCAATCTCGGCTCAGTGCAACCTCCACCTCCCGGGTTCATGCCATTCTCCTGCCTCAACCTCCTGAGTAGCTGGGAATACAGGCGCCCGCCACCACACCCGGCTAATTTTTTGTGTTTTTAGTAGAGACGGGGTTTCACTGTGTTAGCCAGGATGGTCTCGATCTCCTGACTTTGTGATCTGCCTGCCTTGGCCTCCCAAAGTGCTGGGATTACAGGCGTGAGCCACCACGCCCGGCCTACAAAAATTTTTTTTTAATTAGCCAGGCATGGTGGCTTGTGCCTCTAGTTCCAGCTAGTCAGGTAGCTGAGGTAGGAGGATAGCTTGAGCCTGGGAGGTCGAAGCTACAGTGAGCTGTGATTGTGCCATTCCTCTTTAGCCTGGGTGATAGAGTGAGACCCTGTCTCAAAGCAGAAGAGGAAAGCAGAAGAATCACTCATAAAGATTCAGCACAGGAAAAATAAGGCAGTGAGAGAGGTCATAGAGATTCCCTGGATTTCGTCAACAACCTCAAGGACTTCCTGTGCTCCTGGCTTTGAGAATGGAGAAAGGCGGCCCAGAGCCAGGGAATGCAGACAGCCTGTGGAAACGGAGAACATGCGCTGATCAAAACAGTGGCATCCTTCCTAAAACCTTAAGGCAGTGAATTCTGCCAACAACCTGAAAGAACCTAGAGGTGGATTCTACCCCAGGGCCTTCAGGTGAGAGGCCAGGCTGGCCAACATCTTCATTTCAGCCTTATGGAACCTGGAGCAAACCTGTTGAGCCTAATGATCTTCTGATCCACAGAACCTGTGAGACAAATTTGTGTCGTCTTAAGATATCTAAGTTTTGGTAATTTGTTATAGCACCAATAGAAAACTAATATAGATTAATCTACTATGTGAAATTTTAACTGTCGAGCCTGCCAGCATCCTTTCCTGTAAGAAAAACTACATGGGGGCCAAATGTCAGAAAACTGCTTGAAGGAGGAGATTTAGTTATATGCTTAATATGCTCTGATAACTGACAAAACTCTGACAAAACTATCTTTCTTTTGTCTTTTTTTTTGAGACGAAGTCTCACTCTGTCACCCAGGCCGGAGTGTAGTATTGCGATCTTGGCTCACTGCAACATCTGCCTCCCAGGTTCAAGCGATTCTCCTGCCTCAGACACCCAAGTAGCTGAGATTATAGGCGCACATCACCACATCTGGCTAATTTTTGTATTTTTTAGTAGAGATGGGGTTTCACCATATATTGGCCAGGCTGGTCTTGATCTCCTGACCTCAAGTAATCCGCCCAACTCGGCCTCTGGAAGTGCTGGGATTACAGGCGTGAGCTACCGTGCCTGGCTGACAGAACTATCTTGACAAAGGTATATATACCCGTCAAGCAGACTGGATATTCACTTTGGCTTATTAAACCACCCACTCCCATGGCCAGGGCTTGGAAGGACACTATGAACATTCTTATCCTTCTTTAAAGGTGGCAATACAATTAATCTATAGTCAAGTCTTATTCAGGTTATAAACCAGTCTTCCTCTTTGGCGATTTTATATATTAACTCATTTGCTGTGTTCACTTTATAACCTGACTGTCAGAAGGTAACTAATTTTCCCCAAGGCAAGCAAATGAACTGCTTGACAAAAACACCACTGTCCACATGAACCACATAAAAATACCATGAGCACACAGTGACAACACATTGGCTATATTTATCAATGAGCTTAAAAAGCAGCATCTTTAAAAAGCACCTGTTATCCTCATATCAAAAGTATTTCCTTTGAATACTTTCCAAATTTCAAACAAAAATCTGAGTATATAAAACTATTTTTGTGCTTAAATACCTTGATAGGTCCACAAAACCCTAAAAGACTTATTGGATAATAATTACCTATTTCCGAAGGGGAGAAAAGGTAAAGATATTCAGAGATTAAGAAAAGTAATTCCCAGAAATCCAAGAGAGCTTAAAGAAAGAGAAAAATGGAAAAGAAAAACTACTTCCTAGTCTAATTCTTGAAAAAAGTGAACAGAAATTCCCAGAAACGTCATCATTACCATTATTTCATAAGTATGATCGCTTTGATGTTTCTTGTACTCAAACCCTCGAGTGAAACACTGCAAAGAAAGAAAAATTAAGTTAGCAAAATCTACTTTCTTAAAGGACAGAGGTGGTTTGTGTTATTTTCTTCTGACAAGTTTGGGTTTTTAAAATTTTATTTTTGGAGACAGGGTCTCGTTCTGTCACCCAGGCCGAAGTGCAGCAGCACCATCATAGCTCACTGTAGCCTTGAACTCCTAGGCTCGAGGGATCCTTGTACCTCAGTCTCCCAAAGTGCTAAGAATATAGGTGTGGGCCACCATACCACTTCTTATCAAGTTTTTTTTTTTTTTTTTTGGAGACAGAGTCTTGCTCTGTCATCCAGGCTAGAGTGGCGCAATCTCGGCTCACTGCAACCTCTGCCTCCCAGGTTCAAGCGATTCTCCTGCTTCAGCCTCTTGAGTAGCTGGGATTACAGGGACCCGGCACCACACTCAGCTAATTTTTGTATTTTTAGTAGAGACGGGATTTCACCATCTTGGCCAGGCTGGCCTCGAACTCCTGATCTTGTGATCCACCTGCCTTGGCTTCCCAAAGTGCTGGGATTACAGGCATGAGCCACAGAGTTCGGCCAACAAATTTTTAAGGATTCATTTAATCTTGTCTGCAGCTGCAACAGAATGGTGGAATCATGATCACAGCTTTTCAGTGGCACTCACAGAGAAAAAACAAGTCTGAAAAAAAGACTTTTTCCTAAAACAACTCTTTTGAGAAGAGCATACGCCCTGGAATCACAATCATACAGCCTAAATTTGAATCCTGGCTCTGTAATTGTATTTCAGCCATTCTAAGATAAATATTTTTTCATATTTTAAACTCTGGGCTGGGCATCGTGGCTTGTACCCATAGTCCTAGTTACTCAGGGAATCCCTGGCTGAGGGAGCAGGATCATTGAACCCAGGAGGTAGAGGTTGCAGTGAACTATGACTACACCACTGTACTCCAGGCTGAGCAGCAGAGCAAGACTCCATCTCTAAAAAAAAAATTCTTTAATTTTTTTTAAAGAAAAATAAAAAGTCCCTAAAGTAGGCCAGGAGTAATCCTAGCATTCTGGGAGGCTGAGGCGACAGGATTGCTTGAGCTCAAGAGTTCCAGACCAGCCTGAGCAACATGGCGAGACCCTTTCTCCACAGGAAAAAAAAAAAAAATATTAGCTGGGCATGGTGGCACAAGCATGTAATCCCAGATACTTGGGAAGCTGAGGTGGAAGGATCGCTTAAGCCTGGACGATAGAGGTGGCACTGAACCATGATTGTGCCACTGCACTCCAGCCTAGGGGACACAGTGAAACCCTGTCTCGAAAAAATTAAAAAACTCTCTGAAATCAAGATTCATCTTAACAAAAGTACATCACAACTTTTATCAGCCATTTTTACATTTTAACATTTCTGAAATTGAGGTGCTTCTTATAATCAATGGTGTCTTAGATCTGATAAAATATGGTATTTGCTGTGTGACCTTGAACAAGTTACTTAAACTCTCTTAGCCTAAATTTCTTCATCTATAAAATGGGGATACTAATCATAGGTACTTCATAGGATTATAGTGATGATTTAAGGGTTAATTCATGTAAAGTACTCAAAGTGGTGCCTGGTACAGAGTTAAGTACTTATAATTAGTATTTCTACTACCATTATCACCCACAAAAATTGTTTCTTTCCTTGTCATCTGTACAGAGATCAGTCTTCAACAAGACAATAAACAGTGTCATCAAAAGGAATAAACTTCCAGTTCTGTTTTCTATAATTTCAATACTTTAACTTAAAAAAACAGTGTTATGGCTGGGCGTGGTAGCTCACGGCTGTAATCCCAGCACTTTGGGGGCTGAAGCGGGAGGATCACTTGAGGTCAGGAGTTCGAGACCAGCCTGGCCAACATGATAAAACCCCATCTCTACCAAAAATATAAAAAATTAGCTGGAAATAGTGGCGTACACCTGTAACCCCAGCTACTCGGGAGGTTGAGGCAGGAGAATCCCTTTAACCCGGGAGGCAGAGCTTGCAGTGAACCGAGATCACGCCACTGCACTCCAGCCTGGGTAACATAGCAAAACTCTGTCGCGGAAAAGAAAAAAAACACAAAAAACAGCCAGGCATGGTGGCTCACGCCTGTAATCCCAGCACTTTGGGAGACCGAGGCAGGCAGATCACCTGAGGTCTGGAGTTCCAGACCAGCCTGACCAACATGGAGAAACCCCGTCTGTACTAAAAACACAAAATTAGCCGGGTGTGGTGGCGCATGCCTGTAATTCCAGCTACTCGGGAGGCTGAGGCAGAAGAGTTGCTTGAACCCAGGAAGCGGAGTTTGCAGTAAGCCAAGATCACACTATTGCATCTAGCCTGGGAAACAAGAGCAAAACTCCGTCTCAACAAAACAACAACAACAACAACAAAACAGTGTTAACTATTAGGGTTTTGTTTGTTTTTTGAGACACAGTCTTGCTCTGTTGCCCAGGCTGGAGTGCAATGGGCGATCTCGGCTCACTGCAACCTCCGCCTCCCAGGTTCAAGAGATTCTCCTTGGCCGGGCGCGGTGGCTCACGCCTGTAATCCCAGCACTTTGGGAGGCCGAGGCGGGCAGATCATGAGGTCAAGAGATCAAGACCATCCTGGCCAACATGGTGAAACACCGTCTCTGCTAAAAATATAAAAAATTAGCTGGCCATGGTGGCACACGCCTGTAGTCCCAGCTACTCAGGAGGCTGAACCAGGAGAATCACTTGAACCTGGGAGGCAGAGGTTGCAGTGAGCCGAGATTGTGCCACTGCACTCCAGCCTGGTGACAGAGCAAGACTTCATCTCAATAAAAAAAAAAAAGATTCTCCTGCCTCAGCCTCCCAAGTAGATGGGATTACAGGCACCTGCCATCATGCCCAGCTAATTTTTTATTATTTTTGTAGAGACGGGACTTCACCATGTTGGCCAGGCTGGTCTTGAACTCTTGACCTAAGGTGATCTGCCTGCCTTGGCCTCCAAAAGTGCTAGGACTACAGGCATGAGCCACTGTGCCTGGCCAAGTATTAGGTTTAAACACAGATGTGGACTAATCAACAGTCTGTCTCATCTAACTGCTCTGTTTCTCAACTTCCACTGGTAAAACGTATAATGAAAAATTGGGGCTGGGAGCAGTGGTTCACGTCTGTAATCCCAGAACTTTGGGAGGCTGAGGTGGGTGGATCACGAGGTCAGGAGTTCAAAACCACCCTGACCAACACAGTGAAACCCCATCTCTACTGAAAATACAAAAATCAGCTGGGCGTAATGGTGTGTGCCTGTAATCCCTACTCAGGAGGCTGAAGCAGGAGAATTGCTTGAACCTAAGAGGCGGAGATTGCAGTGAGCAGAGATCACACCACTGCACTCCAGCCTGGGCGACAAAGTGAGACTCCGTCAAAAAAAGAAAATCGGGAGAAATAGATTTAATAAGATATAGATCTCCTTAGCAGTTGACAGTAATCTCTGAAATATTACATCATAAAAAATAGCATAAAACTGGGCTAGGAGAGGCCAGCATTAGTGAGTTACCTGCAAGCAGAGGAAAAAAGGAGGTGGCCCACATTCAGCACACTTGATATAAGGCTCCATGAGGTAGGAGGAGCAGCCTCGGCAAGGTGGCTTATCAGAGGGATCATCTAGAACAAAGAGAAAACAAATGCACATTTCAGAACACTTTATGGTTATCTTAAGTGCAAAAAGGTGAAAATCCCCAAATGACCACACAAGTAGTGAGTTGAATTGAAAAGTTCATGGAGACAAGATGAGCTCATTACAAATAAAAAAAAAAAGCAAAAATTACGCTCCTTTTAACTTCAGGGCAGCAATGTTCCTTTTCACACAGCATTTACATAGATATGGACCCTGCAGAGAAATTTACAAGCATATATTTGTTCATTTATTTATACATTTTTAGAGACAGGGTCTTGCTCTGCCACCCAGGCTGGAGTGCAGTGGCTTGACAATAGCTCACTGTAACCTGAAACTCCTGGGCTCAAGGGATCCTCCTGCCTCAGCCTCCCAAGTAGTTAAGACTACAGGCACATGCCACCACACCTGGTTAATTTTTTGTAGAGGCGACGTCTCACCACGTTGCCCAGGCTGGTCTCGAACTTTTGGATTCAAAGAATGTTCCTGCCTTGGCCTCTCAAAGCTCTGGGATTACAGGTATGAGCTACCATGCCCAGTCACGAACACATTTTTAACTGGAAGTTTCATAATATCCCAAACTTATTTTTCCAGGAGCATAAAATGGACACATACCTACACATACAATATAAAGAAAATCTGACAAAATGTTAATGATTGCTGAATCTAGGTAGCAAGCATATAAATAATCACTGTAGGCTGGCCACGTTAGCTTACCCTGTATTTCCAGCACTTTGGGAGGCCAAGGCTGGTGCATCACCTGAGGCCAGAAGTTTGAGACCAGCCTCGCCAACATGGCAAAACCCTGTCTCTACTAAAAATACAAATAGCCAGGGATGGGGGCACAGCCTATAATCCCAGCTACTTGGGAAGTTGAGGCACAAGAATCACTTGAACCCGGAAGGCAAAGGTTGCCGTGAGCCAAGATTGTGCCACTGCACTCCAGCCTGGGCGACAGAGCTAGACCCTGTCTCAAATAATAATAATAATAATCATAATAACAATAATAATAATTGGCTGGGCATGGAGGCTCACGCCTATAATCCTAGCACTTTGGGAGGCTGAGGCAGGCAGATTACCTGAGCTTGGGAGTTTGAGACCAGCCTGGGCAACACAGTGAAACCCTGTCTCTACTGAAAATACAAAAAAATTGGCCAGGCGCAGTGGCTCCTGCCTGTAATCCCAGCACTTTGGGAGGCCGAGGTGGGTGGATACTGAGGTGAGGAGTTCAAGACGATGGTAAAACCCCATCTCTACTAAAAACACAAAAATTAGCTGGGTGTGGCGATACACACCTGTAATCTCAGCTACTCGGGAGGCTGAGGCAGAAGAATCACTTGAACCCAGGAGACAGAGGTTGCAGTGAGCCGAGATTGCGCCACTGCACTCCAGCCTGGGCGACAGAGTGAGACTCCGTCTCAAAAAAAAAAAAAAAAAAAAATTAGCCAAGCATGGTGGTGTGCACCTGTAGTCCCAGCTACGCAGGCGCCTAAGGCAGGAGAACTGCTTAAACCCGGGAGGCGGAGGTTGCAGTGATCCGAGATCGTGCCACTGCACTCCAGTCTGGGCGAAAGAGACAGACTCCGTCTTTAAACAAAATAAAAAAATAAAAAATAAAAATCATCATCACTGTACTGTTCTTTTGACTTTTCTATTTAAGTTTAAAATTTTTCATAACAAAAAGTTGGGGCAAAAAAGAGACAACTCCTTTATTTTTTTGAGATAGGGTCTCACTCTGTCACCTAGGCTGAAGTGTGGTTGCACGATCATGCCTCAATGTAGCCTCAACCTCCCAGGCTCAAGTGAGCCTCCCACCTCAGCCTCCTAACTAGCAGGGATTACAGGCACAAGCCACCACACCTGGGTAATTGTTTAAAATGTATTTGCTATAGAGACAGAGTTTCACTACGTTGCCTAGGCTGGTCTTGATTTCCTGGGCTCAAACGATCGCAGGAATTTGAGCTGCCTCAGCTTCCTAAAGTGTTGGGATTACAGGTATGAGCCACCACACTCAGCTAGTGTCTAAATACGTCTCCTCTAAACACATGTCTTGGAATATACTATTTTATATTTGAGTTCGGATTTTTTTTTTCTTGAGACAGGGTCTTCCTGAGAGAGGATCTTGGACTGTCGCCCAGGCTGGAGTGCAGTGGCGTGATCATAGCTCACTGTGGCTTCAAGCTCCCCAGACTCAGGTGATCCTCCCACCTCAGCCTCCCAAAAAGAGGTACAGACTTGCACCACTGCACCTGGCTCAATTTTTAATTTTTGTAGAGACAGGGTCTATGTTGCCCACGCTGGTTTTAAGAAGTCCTCCTGCCTCAGCTTCCCAAAGTGGTGGAATTATAGGTGTGAGCCACTGCACCTGGTTCTGAGTGGGAATTTAAACCCAGAAAGCTTCCTCCCTTTCTCCCATGGTAAGTACATAACACAGTAGATCTTCTACTCCAATGACAGTGGTATGTCTCCAAACTATTAAGACAAGGAGCATAATCCAAACTCTCAAAAATCATAAAAATGCAGATATATGTGTCCTTGGTTGCCCCAAACTTGGCCTCTAGAGTCACGGCAACCTAGCAAAATTGTTCTCTATGATCAATCACAAGAATCTAAGAGAAGAAAGGCTTTGAAGGTAGATGAAGGAATTTAATTTGTTCAGCCTGGAACAGGATTTCTCACATTCTGTAATAGTATTTGCCTCCCTAAAGTCCAAGAAACACTCTTCAAGGTACCTTTCCCTCTTTCAAGTGATGATCACTGTTCTCTTTATTTGTTTTTAAGAAGATATAGAGGGTGGGCATGGTGGCTCAAACCTATAATCCCAGCACTTTGGGAAGCTGAGGTGGGTGGATCACTTTAGCTCAGGAGTTCAAGACTAACCTGACCAGCATGGCAAAACCCCATCTCCACTAAAAATACAAAAATTAGCCAGGTGGTGGGCGCCTGTAATCTCAGCTACTCGGGAGGCTGAAGCAGGAGAATCACTTGAACCCGCGAGGTAGAGATTGCAGTAAGCTGAGATTGCGCCATTGCACTCCAGCGTGGGTGACAGGAGCGAAACTCCATCTCAAAAAAAAATAAAAATAAAAAGACACAGAAGAAAATGACAAAAGAAAAAAAATGTACTCCTGGCAGTAGCTTTCAATTCAATATATAAAACTGCAGCTACTCCATTCCCCCCATTTTAAATTTTAATACAGAAGAACAAATCTTGCTATGTTGCTCAGGCTGGTCTCAAACTCCCAGCCTCAAGTGATCCTCCTGCCCCAGCCTCCCAAAGTACTGTGATTACAGGAGTGAGCCACTACGCCGTGCCAAAAACTGTTGTATATTAAGTGATAGATGCCAACTTCTACCAAGTTACCCTCTTCCTCACTTCCTGTTAATGATATAAGCTTGCTTCTCTCTTGCCTCCAACTATCCTATTTTTAAAAAAGGCATCAGCCATTGAGCAAAGTGTTTTTTTTGTTTTGTTTTGTTTTTTGAGATGGAGTCTCGCTCTGTCACCCAGGTTGAAGTGCAGTGGCACGACCTTGGCTCACTGCAACCTCCGCCTCCTGGATTCAGGTGACTCTTCTCCCTCAGCCTCCCGAGCAGCTGGGACTACAGGCGCACACCACCAAGCCCGGCTAATTTTTTATACTTTTAGTAGAGACGGGGTTTCACCATATTGGCCAGGCTGGTCTCGAACTCCTGAAAAGTGGTCTTTATTTATTGTTTTGTTGAGACAGTGTCTCACTCTGGTTACTCAGGCTGCAGTGCAATGGCTTGATCTCAGCTCACTGAAACCTCAGTCTCCCATGTTCAAGCAATTCTCATGCCTCAGCCTCCCAAGTAGCTAGGATTATATGTATGTGCACTATGCCCAGCTAAATTCTGTATTTTTAGTAGAGGTGGGGTTTCCCCATGTTGCCCAGGCTGGCCTTGAACTCCTGGATTCACATAGTCCACCTGGCTTAGCCTCCCAAAGGGCTAGGATTGCAGGCCCAAAGTGATTTTTTTAAATCCTTATGTCAAGAAGCGGTTATTGGGCGGGGCACAGTGGCTCATGCATGTAATTCCAGCACTTTGGGAGACCAAGGTGGGTGGATCACTTGAGCTCAGGAGTTTGAGACCAGCCTGGGGAACATGGTGAAACCCCATCTCTACAAAAAAAAAAAAAAAAAATACACAAAATTAGGCAGGTGCAGTGGTGCACGCTTGGTGGTCCCAGCTATACGGAGGCCTGAGGTAGGAGGATCACTTGAGCTGAGGAGGTCGAGGCTGCAGTGAGCCATGACCACACCACTGCACTCCAGCCTGTGTAAGAAAGCTAGACCCTGTCTCAAAAAGAAAAAAAAAAAAGGAATTCCTTTGTAAAAGTAATCCAATTTATAGTTCTTAACATTCCAAACAATAAAACTGTAAAGTATGTCATCCACAATTAGCATTTTGAAAAATATTTTTCCAACCTTTCTTCTCTGTAACATAGTACAAATATTCAACAAAGGTAGAGGCTAGGCTCAGTGGGTCACGCCTGTAACCCCAGCAATTTGGGAGGAAAAGGCAGGATGATTGCTTGAGCTTAGGAGTTCAAGCCCCCCCCGGGCAATATGGCAAGACCCTGCCTCTACCAAAAATAATAAAAAGAAAAAATAGCCAGGCATGGTGGCCCACACCTATAATCCCAGCACTTTGGGAGGCTGAGCCAGGTGGATCACCGGAGGTTAGGAGTTCAAGACCAGCCTGGCCAACACGGTGAAACCCCACCTCTACTAAAAATACAAAAATTAGCTGGATGTGGTGGTGTGCGCCTGTAATCCCAGCTACTCAGGAGGCTGAGGCAGGAGAATCACTCGAACCCAGGAGGCTGAGGTTGCAGTGAGCCGAGATCACACTACTGCACTCCAGCCTGGGTGACAAGAGCGAAACTCCATCTCAAAAAAGAAAAAAAAAGAAAAAAAAAGTGGAATATTATACATGATGTTTTGTAGCCTGTTTTATCACTTGA